ATCTTCTCATTATTTTGCCACATAGATGAGTTTGTTCTAATAAACTGTTCATAAATAGCTTGTCTGGTTTCAAGGTATTTAAGTTATTTTTGTTAAATGTTTACTAGTTAAATCATTATGCAAATGGTAAAAGGGGTAAGCTTTGCTTTTTACTACTTTTAATGCTTCTTTCATCATTCCTTTACGGTACTTTCTCTATAGCGCCAAAAGATTTTAAAATTTCTATTTCCTATACTTTAACTATTAGGTTAATGGTTTATTTGATTTGCTTGTGGTAATTAAAATTGTGGGAGGTTTGGGTTACAGTTAGTTCAAAGTATTCATAAATTATGAAATCTCCTGGGTGGTAAACTAGGTGCTTTATTTAAGCTATGCTTTGATTTGTCCAAGCACACTTTCCAGTATGCTTACCTTGTTATGAATTGTCTCCTCTCATATGATTAGTATTTGTTAATAGATTATAGAGGATTATTTTAATACTTGAGAAAGGTGATGGGCGGTGTGTGTGTGCTTCATAGCCTTATTCAATTAAGCACTCTATTCTTTTTTTTTTTTTTTTTTTCCGTACGCGGGCCCCTCACTGTTGTGGCCTCTCCTGTTGCGGAGCACAGGCTCCGGACGCACAGGCTCAGCGGCCATGGCTCACGGGCCCAGCCGCTCCACGGCATGTGGAATCTTCCCGGACCAGGGCACGAACCCGTGTCCCCTGCATCGGCAGGCGGATTCAACCACTGCGCCACCAGGGAAGCCCCACTCTATTCTTAATTTACTACTAAAGCCTCCTTTTTTAAAAAAAATATTTATTTATTTATTTTGCCTGTGCCAGATCTTAGTTGCAGCACGCGGGATCTTTAGTTGTGGCATGAGGGATCTTTTAGTTGCAGCATGCGGGCTCTTAGGTGCGGCACGCAGACTTCTTAGTTGCGTCATGCGTGTGCGATCTAGTTCCCCAACCAGGGATCGAACCCGGGACCCCTGCATTGGGAGCATGGAGTCTTACCCACTGGACCACCAGGGAAGTCCCCTCCTTTGGTTTTTAGTTTCATAAAAACTTTTGTGTAATAAGAAATATATTCTTGGGACTTCCCTGGTGGCCCAGTGGTTAAGACTCTATGCTGCCAATGCAGGGGCTGCGGGTTCGATCCCTGGTCAGAGAACTAAGATCCCACATGCCGTGCAGCGTGGCCAAAAGATTAAAAAAAAAATTGAAAAAAAAGAAATATATTCTTGAAATAGAAAATGTAGCCCATTTCTACTCACTCCATAAGTTACACCTTGACCTAACGTTTTTATGTATAATTATTATGCTTACTGTTGTTCCTTTTTAGGGTTTGCTGAAGATGGTAGTATATAGATGAATTAGCAAGGGTTGGTGAGGTTTATTGATTATAGAACAGGGTCCTCTAGAGGGATATGAAACACTGCCAACTTCTTTGAGTTTTAAGCTGCTGCTAGTAGTACTCTGGTGAATAATTTTGTCATTGTAATTATTTGAGTTTAGGGCTAAGCATAGTGGGGTATCTAATCCCAGTTTGAGTCTTAGCTGTCATGTAATCAGGAAATATTAAAGTCACTGGTAGTTTATTTTTATTTTAGCTATGGCTTTTTATGGCTTAGTTAGAATTTAACTTTTTGAAAACTTATTCTGTCACATGCTTTATGCAGGTTTTCTATTAATTTAGGTTTATCAAATGACCGCGGTGGCTGGCACGAAATTTTCCAACCTTGGATAATATAACTTAGTCAAAGTTGCATTTATGGCTTAATTTTTATCACTGCTGTTTCCTGTGCAGGTGTGGTTGAGCAAGGCATTATGAGCTACTATTGTAGTGTGCTTGATGCCTGCTCCTTTTAATCTTTATGATTTACAGGGCATTCTAACTGGGGTGTGGATGCTTGCATGTGTAATTTTATTAAAAACTAACAGAAAGGCTAGGACCAAACCTATGTGTTTATGGAGTTAGTAAACTCATCTAGGTATTTTCAGTGCCTTGCTTTAAGTCTTAACTGCATTAACAGGCTGAGTTTGTATGCATGATTATGTGGTAATGTGTACATGATTAATTTGTGTATTTTATATTAGATTTAGTGTTGAATTTTAAAATTTAATTTTAATAAAAGTGGCTGATAAATCTAGGGAGATGTCTGTCTATATAAGTGGTATATATCTACATAATTTATTGGTATGATTAGGATTTATTTTACTTGAGTATTGAAATGTCTGTGTTTTGTTGGATAGATTAATTAAATTCTATGTATTTGTATGTTTCTTACCTTGTTTTTGGGGTTTGGTAGGGTGTCATAGGCATATGGAGCATAGGGCTTAGTGGGGGGTAAGGGGATTTGTTAAGCAGGGCGTTTACCTATTTAATAAATGTGTACGTGTATGTGCATGTAATTATGTACATGTACATGCACATGTACATGTGTGTAATTTCCTTATGTCCTGTAACCATTGACTGAATAACACCTTATGGTTGATGATGCTGGTTAATAATATTCAATTAAGTCCAGCTACAATTTATTTCACTTTGTTAAGTCCTCAGATGGCCATAGCCGAGTCACAGCACCCCTTAAAAATTAAAAAATACCAAATACATGAACCACAATTATGTGTGAGCATGGGCTGATTAGTCATTAGCCCACTGAGATGTCTTATTTAAGGGGTAAGGGTGGGCGATTTTAGGTGAGATGGTCCTGAAGTAAAAACCAGATGTCTGATAAAGTTCATTAATAGAAACCACTACAAGTCATGGGCCCTGAGCGAGAAGAGAGACACATGCTAAGTGGGTTGATGGTTTCACGTGGCTTGCTGATTAAGCTTGTGATCTATTGGATATGATATGCATGTTGACTGGAATTGATCTGACTTAATGTACTATGTACTATTAATACCATTATGTTCTATGTAATATCAATAATATAATGTACATGCTTATAAGCATGGGGCAGATAATTAATGCACAATTACACATATCATATATTATATATATATATAATATGTATGTACTTATATACGTGGATATATACCATATGCATGAAATACATTAGCTATTTATGGGAGAGGAAAATGTTATTTTAATACTGACATGGTACTTTAAGATTGTGGAAATGTCCCATAACAATTATCAGGGAATAGTTTAAGTAGAGTTTCAGCTTTGGGTGCTGATGGTGGAGCTTGAGCTTTTTCCTTGAGTCCTGGGGAGATACATTATTCTCTTTTTCTAGTTTACAAGACCAGGGTAATAAATATACTACAAAGACTCTTCATATTAGGAGATTACTTTCAATAATGCTAACTACTGGTATTAGCACTAGAATTAAAAAGAAGTATAAGATGGATGCTAGCTGTCTGGTAATAATGAAGGGGTGTTCTATGGGTTGTACTCCAATTCATGTTAATGTTAGTAGATCTGCTACTAATACTCAGAATAGGCACTGGCTGAGAGGTCAGAGTGTTATACTTCGTTGTTTGGATGTGTGGAATATTGGAATGAATGCTAGAATTAAAATTGAGAAGATTAGGGCTAGTACACCTCCTAGTTTGTTGGGAAGTGATCGTAGGATTGCATATGCGAATAGGAAATATCATTCTAGCTTAATATGGGGTGGTGTGTTGAGAGGATTTGCTGGAATATTGTTGTCTGGATCTCCTAGCAGGTCGGGTGAGAATAATTCTAGTATTAGTAATGCTAGGATTAGTTGTAAAGTGCCTAAAACATCTTTGACTGTATAATATGGATGAAACGGAATTTTATCTATGTCAGATAGATTCCTGTGGGGTTATTAGAGCCTGTTTCGTGAAGAAATAGAAGATGGATGGTTGCTAGGGCTGCGATAATAAATGGAAGAATAAAATGGAAGGTGAAAAATTGTGTGAGGGTTGCTTCATCTACTGAAAATCCACCTCAGATTCATTCAACTAGGTTTGTTCCCATTTAACCTCCAGCTAATAGTGAAGGGACTGGTGCCAGAATTCAAGTCTTCTGACTCAAAATCTTGTACTCTTTCTATAACAGTATAATGCCTGGTAGATTTATGCCACTCTTTTCCTAAATAAATTTTAGGCCAGTAATCAGATGGGATTTTTGTGCTATTTTTAGATGAATAAGCCTGGAAGAAGTAGTTTGAATAGCAAAATATTAAAATTTCCAGGACATTTTAATGGCTTATTGGGACAACTGGATTGAATATTAGGATCAGTAATGTCCTGGACAATTGGGATTTCTGTCTTTAAAGTGACTAAACCCTTCTGCGTGTAGTCCAAGACACTCTTATATCAAATTCTACTCCCTACAAAATAGTATTAGCATGGGGGTTCCAATGTCTTGGATTAAGGAGTCAGTCATTAAAAATTATGAGGAAAAGTACTGACAATTCTTTAAGGGCTTAGAATCTTCTCCCCTGTGTGAGCATGGTTCATACCTACTGAGTGCAAAATATGAAGTAGACCAAGTTTTCCTTTCTCTTCTCGCCTTTCATCTCAGTGTTTCTTTCTTGCCCAATCCTCATCCCAAGCCACACAACCCTTGTTCCATTTGTGAAGTACTGCTGTTAGCCTGGCATGGCATTTAGACAGCCGAATCTTGAACAACTGAAAATTCTCAAGGTGTAAAAAAAGGAATCCAGTATAGTTCATTTCAAGTATTAATGGAAAATTGGGATGAGGAGAATGGCTTCTGTAAAATTGTTCATGTCACAACAGCTGGGCAAAGATAGTCTATGCTTTCCTGGTGCTATTGTGAGTTGCCCATTAAACAACAGCCATTTTGGGAGAGGCAGAAGAATTAAATACTATAACCTGCTGAAGTTAATGTTATATTTATATTGCTTTATAATAATTTATAATAAACTATGATTAATAATATAAATAAAATTTACTTATAATAAATTCTCAATAAAGTATGTGCTTTCTTGATGACAGAATATTCAGTAAAAATTAATTCAAAACAATGTAAAATGTTAACAATGGTTTTTAAAGGATATATCAATCTACTTACTGATTTTCTTTTTCTATTTGTATTTTTCTGTCCATAGGCCTTATCTTGTATTAACTCATCTGAAAAAGAATGAAAAAATGATATAATTAAGTTAGCACTTGTGGCATTTGACAAGCATGTTCTTCAGACATGTCTCGAATGACTATGTAGCATAGCAGTTAAGGGCACAGGCTCTGGAGCCAGACTGCCTAGACTCAAATAGTCTCTGCAACAACTAACCATCTAAATTTGGACAAGTTATCTTGCCTCTCTCTGTCTCAGTTTTGTCATCTGTCAAAGGGTAAAGATCCTCTCTCATAGGATTGTGTGATTTAAAGGGCTAAAGCATCTAATACTGTGTCTGGGACATAATAAGCACAAATGAATGGAAGTTTTGCTGTTATTGTTACCATCGTTACTACTCCCTCTATTCTGACCCCTGACACACTGCACCCTTGGGTCTGTCATCTAGTAACTCTGACTACTAATTTGAATAGCATTGTTAAAATACATAAAGTTATTAAAGTTAAATGTCATCATGCACCATACTTTATGTACATCAAAGATTGTCTTGTAGTCAGATTATAGTCAATGTATTGAACACTTCTACTTTTCTGGCTCAATGCCAGTTCAAGAAATGAAGTAAAAACAAAAAAAATATCGCCATTGCACTCTAGGTGGTTCTGAATGTTTTTGTGGCTGTTAAAGATTAGGCACCTTATCAGAGCTATGCTTGACTGCATGTTTAAAAGATTGCTTTTACTAATCCTTCTTGGAGCCTCATTTTAGCCTATCCTCTAGCAGTCATTTGGGTAATCTTCCATCATTCATTTGCTATACATACCCAACTCTGTAAAGCTGTGTGGACAGACAATCTACATTCTAGATACATTTCATGAGTAATTCTATATTTCCTTAATTCAATTCATGACCCTAGAGAGGATTCTTATGTAATAAACTTAAAGAATTTATAAAAGTACGGAGTGGAACGACCATATTCTTCAATGAATTGTGGTGCTAGGCTAAAAATATGTGCATATATATCAGGAGTCAGAGGGTATCTATGAAAGTAGCTCCAAAGGAACTGGGCTAGGCATATGCCTCTAATTTGCTTAAAGGTAATGATAATTCAAGGAATTTAGCAAGAGTGCTGAACCTTACTAAATAAACTTTAATATACTGCATTTTATCTTATATAATGTATCTATAGAAGAATTAGGTTAATTATATAAGACTGGTCTACGTAAATAAACTGAAGAGTGTAATGCAAAGTATAATAAAATCATTTAAAATATATATTTAGGAACCTTGAATCGTTTTTAAAAGGCTCTGTTCAGACATAAATTTAGGAATATAGCCTTCTAGAGAAATAGGAGACCAAACAGTCTTAAAACCATCTTTCTCATTTTAAAAATGAGAAAAAGATCCAGAAAAGTTATGACCTGCCCAAGAGCAAATAGGAGTGAACAATAAGAAAATAAGCCCTGTTTTCCTCCCTAAGCATTTACTTTTTAAAAGATACACCATAGATGTTCTTTCCAATTCTGTATTTGATTTGACACTGCTTATAAAGGCTCTTTACTCTTCAGAGGAGATTGGACCACTGGCTTGTTTCACAGACTTCTTTTACAGAATTGTCAAACTACTCAGCCTTTCCATGCCTCAGTTGCCTCATCTATAAAACTAGTATAATAGTGTCAACCTAACAGGGTTGTATTTATGAAGATTAAATAAATTAATGTATGTGAAATGTCTACAAAGTTATGAAGATTATAAGGCAATATAAGGAAACTGCAAGGGAGTACTGAAATATTTATTCTTAGTATCTAGTTCCATTCTTTAATTTTTAAAATGGGAAAATTGAGGCTTTTATAAGACAAGTGGTTGCCTAAGGTCCAGAGCTAATTAGTGGCAAGGCAGGGGTGAGATCCGGTTTACCCCCCAACAATATTTTCTATTATTTGATACACTATTTCCCCTTTTCAAGCAATAGTCAGAAATAATAAAATAAGGAGCTTGCTTGCTGTTCTAGCAGATTTACTCCAAAAGTTCTTTTATGATTAGAAGACGCCAAAGGATATTAGAATGAAAGTTTTGGAGGCATCATATTATAGGTACTCTCTTATTACTCATGAATGTTATTCCAAATGGTCACTTTCTCTTCTAAAATAAATAGTAATTTAGGTGTACTTTAAATTTTTCCTGACATTTAAAGTATTCCTGGAACTGACATCCTTTGTTCTAAAATAGCTTCCTGTACCCCAATATATATTCTTAGAACTGTTATTATTGTGTAGAACAGATATATAAATACATATCCATATGTATGCATATGGATAAAAACAAACATATATATGGCTAAAACATTAATTTGTAATCATTTTCATTTCACGACATTCAACTATTCAAGATAAGTCAAATTTCCCTTTTGGGGACTTTCTTCTAAAAATACACTTCTCAGTTACAATTTCATCTGATATTTTCCCTGTATGTCTTTTTTTTTTAAATATATTTTTTCATCTTCTATTTCCCCATAAGTTCCTAATTGGAGAACACTCTCTACTACTCAAGGATGCTTTCATGTTACAAAGAAACGTGCCTGCTTGCTCATCCTCCCTGTCAAGTGTTTTATTCTTATTTTCTCTTCATTTTAATTAGATTACTACAGTCTCCTCTGGATGGATATTCGGTTACTACACAGTCATAACTGTCCCAATTGTTGAATATCAAAACATTTCTGTACTAATTTGTAAAGTTGCTGCCTCAAGATATCCAAGTATCCATCTTAGATTCATTGCCCTGGCTATCTTGATTCCCTTAGGAATCTCCCATTTCCTTCAACCCCAACATGACACAGCAGGGGACTTCCAGAACTCTGATCCAGCAGCATTGTCTGATCTGGTTGTTCCATGCTCATGCTGTACTAGTTGTTATCTTGATTATCTTTGGGTTTACTGATATGTCAAATGGGTCTCCATAACAATATCACAGAACAATTCCTTGAATTAGAAAAACTTCACTAGATAGATCTATAGATAGCCAGAACGTTTGTAAACACAGATAAATGTATTAAATGGTTTAGTAATATTATATAATAATGCATGTAAAATAAATATTACCTAGGATCTTAAGGCCATCTGTATTTTGCTTTGCTTGATTTCCCACTAATATTGTAATTCCATAGGTTTTTCATGCCAGTAATCATAAACATCATAGTGTAATTTATATTTTGAAGGAAAGTCTTGATAGTAATTGTTTTACATGAGTTTATGTTCTCAATTTCACTGAATATTTGAAAATTACAACCATATATACAAATAATAACTTACCTAAACCATTAGCGATATTTAAATTTTCATTCACTGTGCTACAGGAACAATGTGAACTCTGAAGTAAAAATAGACCAGAAAAAGTGAATAGAAAAAATAATTAAATATCAATATAATTTTTAAACTTAGCATTATTGATAGCTGTAAATAATAATAAAATGAAATCTAATGTTACCATTTGGATTTATCTTATATAAGGAAAATAATTCATTTCTAATATAACCAGTACACCTGCAGGTGGTGAGATAACTTGCATGGCTGAAACATTGTAGTAGTAGGTTGTTGAGGTAGGAAATGGCAAGCATCAAAAAAGTACATGATACTACTTTGTATATTATTGATCTCTTCTTACTCCCCTAAGCCCCAGGAAACAAAAATAGTAACTTAAAATGTAAAATAAAAATAATATTAACATAAAAGAAAGCATATATCAAAGGAGAATGGAGAAGTGATATGATGGAAAATGGTAGAGTAGGGTGCTCAAAGAATTGGTCCCTTCACTGAAACAAATATAAATGTCAAAGCCTCACAGATCAACTATTTCAAACTCCATAATCTAATACAAAACTTATAGCAACCAGGGACTGGTTAATGCAAAAAGGGGCAGCTAAATTTTGGTGTTTTAAGAAATCTGTAAGGTCATTAGCTGGCCACTGAGATAACGGAAGAGAGACTTCAGTGACTGACCACAAATGGCAAAGAATTTACAGTCTTTGCAAAACAATAGTTTGGATAGGTCACTAAAGAAACATGTGACCACAGCCCTCAAAAATCAACAACAGTACCCTAGAGATGGAGGAGAATTTCCAGAGTTACATTATAATATTTAAAATGCCCAATTTCCAACAAAAAATCACAAGACATACAAAGATATAGGAAATATGGCCCATTCATAGGAAAAAACTTGACAGAAATGGCCTGTGAGGAAGCCCAGATATTGAACTTAATAGACAAGGATTTTAAAATGACTTTCTTAAATATGCTCTTAGAGCAAAAGGAAACCATGGGCAAACAACTAAAGGAAATCAAGAAAACAATATATAAACAAAATGTAAATAAAGAGATAGAAATTATAAAATGGAACCAAATAGAAATTCTGGATCAGAAAGTACAATAACTGAAATGAAAAACTCTTAAGAAGTTCAACAGCATATTGAGCAGATAGAACAAAGGATCACTGAATTGAAGATAGGAAATTAAAATTATCCAGCCTGAGAAGCAGGAAGAAAAAAAGAATGAAAAAAGTGAACAGAGCCTAAAGGACCCTGGGGACAACAATCAAGTGTACCAACATACACATTATGGGAGTCAAAGGAGAAGAGAAATGGCCAGAAAGAATATTTGAAGAAATAATGGCCAAACACTTCCCAAAGTTAGTAAAGGACATGAATCTACACATCCAAAAAGCTCAACACACTTCAAGGAGGATAAACTCAAAGATATATACACCAAGACATAATAAAACTCCTAAAAGACAAAGAGAGAACTTGAAAGCAGCAAGAAAAAACATGACTCATCACATATAAAAATTCTTCAATAAGAGTAACAGCCAATTTCTCATCACAAGCCATGTTAAGTTAGTAGACAGTGGAAAGAAAAAGACTGTCAACCAAGAATTATATAACAAGCAAAACCATCCTTCAAAAATGAAGAAGAATTAAGACATTCCTGGATCAACAAAAGTTAGAGGTGTCTGTCACTATTATTTTTGTTTTACAAGCAATGATAAGGGAGTCTCTCAGGATGGAAGAAAACATACTAGACAGTAACTCAAGCCCATATTAACAAAGAAATCCAGAAAAGGTAACTATGTAGGTAAATATAAAAGCCATTATTATTATATTTTTGGTTTGTAACTTCTAAAATTTCCTACATGCTTAAAAACTTTTTATTTATTTTGCATTGAAATATAATTGACATACAACACTGTATTAGTTTTAAGTATACATAATGATTTTATATATGTATATATTATAGAATGATTACACAATAAGCTTAGTTTACATCCATCACCACACATTTATAATTTTTTTCTTATGATGAGAACTTTTAAGATTTATTCTCTGCAACTTTCAAGTATACAACATAGTATTGTTAACCACCCTATACATCACAAACCAAGGACTTATTTATCTTATAACCAGAAAGTTTGTACCTTTCAACAACCTTCACCCATTTCACCCACCCCCAAAATGCACCTCTGGCAACCACCAATCTGTTCTCTGTACAAATGAGTTTAGTTTTTTTGTTTTAGGTTTCACATATAAGTGAAATCATAAAGCATTTGTCTTTCTCTGACTTATTTCACTTAGTATAATGCTGTCAAGGTCCATCCATGTTGTCTCAAATGGCAGGATTTTCTTCTTTTTTACAGCTGATTAATACTCATTGTGTATGTTTACCACATTCCCTTTATCCATTCATCCACTGATGGACACTTAGGTTGCTTCCATATCTTGCCTATTGTGAATAATGTTGCAGTGAACATGGGAAGGCAAATATCTCTTTGAGATCCTGGTTTCAACTCCTTTGAAAATATATCAGGAGTGGGATTGCTGGATCATCTGGTAGTTCTATATTTAATTTTTTGAGGAACCTCCATACTGTTTTCCAATGTGGCTGCACCAATTTACATTCCCACCAAGTGTACAAGGGTTCCCTTTACTCCACATCCTTGCCAACACTTGTCACTTGTTTATCCTTTTTTTTTTTTTTTTTAATAAATGCCATCCTTACAAGTGTGAGGTGAAATCTCATTGTTCTTTTGATTTGTAGTTCCCTGGTGATTGGTGATGTTCAGCACCTTTTTGTTTTTGGTCATTTGCATGCCTTCTTTGGAGAAATGTCTGTTCAGTTCCTTTGCCTGTTGTTTAATTGGGTTATGTGGGTTTTCTTGCTATTGAGTTGTAGTAGTTTCTTATATATTTTGGATATTAACCCTTCATTAGATATATAATTTGTAAATATTTTTGCACAAGCTATGGGTTGCCTTTTCATTTTGTTGACTGTTAGTTACAGTAAGCAAAACTGTATATCACTTGTATAAAACAGACATATAAACCAATGGAACAGAATAGAAAATGGAACAGAACACAGAGCCCAGAAATAAACCCACACATATATGGTCAACTGATCTTTGAAAAGCATGCCAAGAATCCACACTGGGGAAAGAATAATCTTTTTAATAAATGGTGTTGGAACAACTGGATATCCACATGCAAAAAAATGAAATTTGACCTTTATCTCATACCATACACAAAAATCAACCTAAAATGGATTAAAGACATAAGACCTGTTGCTTCTAGAACCCCAAAATATGTTGGGCTTATTTTAATGTTGTAGGTGCCAAGAGTTTCAAAACTGTTTCTTGATAGTGTCAAGAATGGAGCAGCTCTCAGTTTACTGAATAATTTTTAGGAATCTAGTCAAGATGTCAGGCTTTGCACTAGGTGTGGGGCAATGGCCCATCCCCTTTCATAAACTCCTTTGTGAATATTTGTATGTCCTGAATGAGTATGTCAAATAAATCACCTTGGAAGAAGGTGTCATACCTGTACTCCTGGAGAAAATTGGATGCAGTTAAGATATTGTCTGCTACTTAGGAATAAACCTGGCCAAGGAGGTGACCAAGATTTAAACACTGAAAACTATAAAATATTAATATAGGAAACTGAAGGTGACTCAAAGAAATGGAAAGATATCCCATGCTCTTGGATTGGAAGAATTACTATTGTTAAAATGGCCATACAACCCAAAGCAATCTACAGATTTAATGCAATCCCTATCAAATTACCCATGACTTTTTTCACAGAACTAGAATAAATACACATAAAATTTATATGGAAACATAAAAGACTCAGAATTGCCAAAGCAATCCTGAGGAAAAGGAACAAAGCAGGAGGCATAACCCCCCCAGACTTCAGAAAACACTACAAAGCTACAGTAGTCATAACAGCATGGTACTGGCACAAAAACAGACATATGGATGAATGGAACAGAATAGAGAGTCCAGAAATAAACCCACACCTATGGTCAATTTTTTTTTTTTGCAGTACACAGGCCTCTCACTGTTGTGGCCTCTCCCATTGCGGAGCACTGGCTCCGGACGTGCAGGCTCAGCAGCCATGGCTCACGGGCCCAGCTGCTCCGCGGCATGTGGGATCTTCCCGGACCGGGGCACGAACCCGTGTCCCCTGCATCGGCAGGTGGACTCTCAACCACTGCGCCACCAGGGAAGCCCTGGTCAATTAATCTTTGACAAAGGAGGCAACAATATAAAATGGAAAAAAGATGGACTCTTCAGCAATTGGTGTCGGGAAAGTTGGACAGCTGCATGTAAATCAATGAATTTAGAACACATCCTCACACTGTACACAAAAATAAACTCAAAATGGCTTAAAGACTTAAATATAAGACATGAAACCATAAAACTCCTTGAAGAAAACATGGGCAAAACATTCTCTGACATAAATCATACCGAAGTTTTCTTAGGTCAGTCTCCCAAGGCAATAGAAATACAAGCAAAAATAAACAAATGGGACCTAATCAAACTTACAAGCTTTTGTACAGTAAAGGAAACCATAAAAAAATGAAAATACAACCTACAGACTGGGAGGAAACATTTGCAACAGCCTTGTCCATCACACATCTTTGCAGACAAGATATTTTTTAAAATTTATTTTATTCAAGTATAGTTGTTTTACAATGTTGTGTTTCAGGTGTACAGCAAAGTGATTCAGTTATATATATTATATTCTTTTTCAGATTCTTTCCCCATATAGGATATTACAAAAATACTGAGTATAGTCCTCTGTTCTATACAGTAGGTCCTTGTTGTTTATCTATTTTATACATAGTAGTGTGTACATGTTACTCCCAAATTCCTAATTTCTCTCTCCCTCCACCTTTCCCCTTCAATAACCATAAGTTTGTTTTCTATATCTGTCAGTCTGTTTCTGTTTTGTAAATAAATTCATTTGTATCATTTTTTTTTAGATTCCACATGTAAGTGATATCATATGATATTTATCTTTCTCCCTTACTCTACTTAGCATGATA